AGCAGTCTTCCGCTGTGTTTCTTCTTTCTCTGTTCCCTTCTTTCTCTCTTTCTTTCTTTCTTTCTTTTTTCCCCTCCCCCTTTTATTTTTCCCCCAGACCTACAGCCTCTGGAGCTACCAACGAGGTCGTCACATTTCAGGTCTGGAGCGGCACCCTTGCCTTTCCTGTGGCAACACAAAATACAGTGTTACAGCCCATGAAGGCTGCGGCCGACAGCGGGACACAGCGTTTGACTGCTGTGGCTCTCAGACACCTTTAGATCAACCTTAGGGTTAAACTCCAGCGGCCAAACAGGGGAACCGGGGGAAAAGGACGGCAGGGACCTTCCTGCGAGGGAACACGGGGAGAGCTGGAGAAGCAGAAGGGGAAGGGAAGGAGCGGAGGAGCGCTTGGAAAGCGCAGAGCCTGCTGCCAGCCGCGAGTTCTGCTAGGAGGAGAAGGATCGGTAAATAGGTTATAAATCGCGATTTGTATGCAGGCTTTAAGGAGAGGGTGGAGTTTGATGAAGAAATAAAGCGAGCGAGCAGCGTGCTAAAAAAAAAAAAAAAAAAAAAAAAAAAAAAAAAAAAGGAGCACAAGAACCCGGCTCGCTCCAAAACTTTCCTTTGAACAACGCGTGGAGTGAAAACAAGGCCAAACCTCGCGGAGCACCACACTCCGGGCACCGGCAAAGGGGAGATCGTGCCACATTTCCCCCCTGTTCACCCCTCGTTCTCCCCCCTTTACTCTTTCCTTGTCTACTTACACGTCCTTCATCTTTCTTTCAGGAAAATTGAGCCTGAGAATGGAGCTACCGAGAAGCGTTTGGGTTTAAAGAGAAACGGTGGGGCGGGAGGTGGGGGGGAAAGGAAGCTGAATGGGAGCACATCTCGTACGGAGGGATGCATCTCCCCCCACCCCACCCCCGGGCTCATGCCAACAATAGACAAAACCACATCCACCACCGCAGGCGCACACACGCACACGCGAAGGGGCACCGCACGATAAACGTGTAGCGAGCACCGTGGTGATAAATCCCGGGCACAATGAGCGGGGACGGGGAGAGAGCGGCGGGGCCGGGGAAGGGGGTGGGGAGCGGCGGGAGGAGGGCAGGAGGCACGAACCGAAAAGCAAAAGAAAACATCGCCAACCACCATCCGCAGCAACAACAAAACCTTGCGCTGGGCTGCCAGATGGAGTGCAGGCAGAGGGAGAGATTGACATGTGCATGTAAATACGGAGGGACCCGGATCGCCGCCGCGAGCCGCGCATCTCGGGGCACACACACCCCGCGCACCCCTGCGCGCATCATCCGCCCCCCGCTCGCACACCCGAACCCGCGCTCCTGCCACGGCCACGGGAAGGGAGAGCGATAGCATAGTAGGGAAGAAATATTCACCTTCCCGCCTCATGCCCACTTTGAGGCACTTCTTGAGGCGGCAGTACTGGCACTGGTTGCGGTGGTGCTGGTCGATGGGACAGTTCCTGTTGGCACGGCATGTGTAAGTTAAGTTCCTGCGGACGCTCCTCTTGAAGAAACTTTTGCAGCCCTCGCAGGTGAACTGGCCGTAGTGCTTGCCGCTGGACTTGTCCCCGCACACCACGCACTCGATATGCTGCTGGCTCTGCCCCGAGCCCTGCTGCCCCGGGCCCTTGTCTCCGGCCGTGCCCGGCGTGGAAGGGGGTCCCGGCTGGCTGGGGGTCTGCGGGGTGTGCGGGGCGGCCGAGCCCCCCTGCTGCTGGGGCGGCTGCTCCCGGGCAGGCTGCGCTGCGGGGTTGGGGCCGCTCGGGGTGCCCCCGGCCACGTCTTCCTGCGGATCTCGCCAGCTGCTAACTACCATTGCCATATCTCGGGCCCAAA